TGAGACAGACAAACACCATGCATCTCTCCCCTCAAATAACTAGCAGTCAATTCACTCCTTTCCTTCGCCCTCTCCTTTTTTTTTTCTCTCAAACCCACGCAAATACTCCTTTTCTAACATCACATCCCAATTCACACTCAAAACAAAACTCCAACTTCTCCTTTCTGTTCTTTTCCTTCTTTTCTTTTCTTCACAACACCATACACCACTTTCCTCCAGGTTTCAGCAAAACACTACTCGGCAACTAACAAGAAAAAAAACAAGGGTGTTTGGGGAATTGGGTTCAAGAAACACCCAAAATTTATGTGTTTTATTCTCTTGCCATGTTGGTTGCTGGCGGCAGGAGAGTCCTATATGCGTGTGTGCTGCTGATGCTTGTGGCGTTGCACATGTGCCACACGTCCCAGGTTGAGGGGATTCGTGTGTTTCCAGGAAATGCAGTGCCCAACGTGAAATTCAGCCATGGCAATATGAATATTAGCAATAAGAGGAAGGAGGATCTGTTCAACAAGTACTTCAATGGAAGGACTCATCTTGGTCCCAGCAACACAACCCGAAAGGGCTTTGATGAAACCAAAAGAAGAGTACCAAGTTGCCCAGATCCTCTCCATAATTAACAAGTAGAATTCCCATCCAATTTTTCATCTTTCATATTTTTTATCTGTTTCTTTTCTTTTTTGTGTTTCTCAAGTATTAAATTTATTTTGGTTGATATATATGTTCATCCAAAATACCCACGTTTTTCTCATCATTATCTATCGGGTAATGTGTGTTCTTACTGTAGAATATGAGGGAAAACCGGTGGTATTTTGGTATTATATTCAGATTTTTTTTTTTTTACCTTCATTATTTCTCATCCATGAAGTATCCGAAATGATTTTTCATAATCAACAATGTTAAGCTTGTATATAGAAGGTGTTGAGGAATGTCAATTATAGAGTCTATTTTGGTTGGATGCTTTTTGTAATCCTGCGTAGACTTTCTGCAAGTGTATCAGCTACTCTACTAGAATCCTTCGTTATTTACCTTTTTTCTTCCTTTTGCTTGAGAAAGGGAAGCTGAAAAAACTGGCAGATATGTGCAGTAACAGAGGCAGGGACTCATGCCTTATGTACTTATAAGCTTTGGCTACACTGATGTCAAACAATTACTTCCTCTCTTCATCTCTCAGTGCAGAAGCATAACACAGCTTTTTTCATCATCAACGATAGAAGTGTTTGATGGTATAATAAAATAATCAGTCGAATAATTTGAAGGGTCGAAATATTATTTTTCGGATTCGAGATACTAAATTCAAAACTTGTGCCTCGTAAAATATAGAAGTAGGAAAAGTTAATCGACCTTTATTGAAGTTGAGTGCGTAGTGTGGGTGACGGTGAAACATTTTGCTGGATTTGGTAAGTTTTGTATCTTTATTTATTGTTTCTCTCACATGGCTTCTTGCATCCTTAGCGAATTGGGGATTGTTCATTTCTCTACTCTTCTCAGCTTTCTAAAAAGTTTCGTGAAAAGATCTGATTTGGAATCTGATGGGGAGGACTAACTTTCATCAGAAAATCTCACCCGTTGGTTTTCAGAGACTCAAGTTGGCTTATTCATTTGCGATCGATGCCTACTGAATAGTCTATTGATTTGTCTGCGGGTATTGACTGCGTGGTCTGAAAAAGTTGGGTCATATTTTATTTCATTTTAGTTTATTATTTGGCGTGGAAAAGTTTGACTTGGCCAATTATAAGCTCAAATTCACTTCACCATCGATCCCTCTTCAAGGGATAAAGCATCCTAACTTTTGTTTGCGGGAGACATGTTTGGAAGATCCATTTCAGTTTGACTCTCACCATTAACTTTCTATAGATTTTACTGAAAAAAAGTTATGTACTAACATTTTTTGGTTTGACTTCTTTCTGTGCCTACGACTTAAATTGCTCAGTACAAAACTTTGTGTGTCTATAATAATCACGCTTATAATATGATGCATTGATATAACTATCTCTGTTAATATAAGATATTGATATATTGTCAGTATAAGATAATATACTATTAGTACTACCAAGATGTGGAACAGCTCTATTGGCTTAGATTGTTTAAATTTTTTGGTATATACACTTCTACTAAATAGTAAAAAGATAATTTTGTGGAAAAATTAGTTTGCTTACAAGCATGCTGGTATGTCACATGCAAATCAAGTAAGGGTGAAAATTCGTTTATCTTGGGTTAGATTTGGATTTGAGAAAATTAGTTCAAATTAAACAAACCATATATATGAAGTTTAATTTGTGATTTTTTACAATTTAGCCTGAGCCAAACATAAAGTCCATTAAATTTGAGAGGTTGAAACAAAAGATCGAATCACGCACAGAAAAAAATATTAAACAAAAGCTCTTATGTATATATGTTGTGTTGGACGAACAATAACGTTGTTAATATTAGTTGTTGTAGAGGATAATATATGACTTGTACGTACAAACAGATATATTCATAGTTTTGAATTATGAGCAGTCCTCCAACCATATGAGTGATATAACAAAGTAAATTATTGTTGGGAAGCATCTTTTTTCCTTGAATTATTGATGGTGGTACACATTGTGAGGACAATATTATATTAATAGACTACTCACTAATTTGTTTACATGATTAAACAATTCAATCAATGCGGCAAGCTTGTCGAACGAAGAAAATGACTGCATGAAAATAATAAAAAAAACAAAACATAAACGTGATTAGACAACTGAGTTTCGTTAGCTTTAAGAAGAGAAAAACAGCATAAACAACAAAGGTTAGCACAGTAATATTAAATGAACCTTACTTCTTTTGGTAGAAAGGGGATTTTCAAACATGGTGTTCTTGACCTATTGACGACATCGAAACTTATTATCAACATGAAGAAGTCTGATTTATATATGCATTTTTATATACGTATTTTAAACTAACATAATTATTAGACTTCGGTTGGTAGTATTTTATTATGATCACCTCTCTGTCTCATTCTATAAAAAGTGGCTGAAGACAGCACGCATTATTGAAAAGGGCAACAGAGAGAAACGAAAAAAGAGTGTGATTTGGTTGAATTCAAGGGAATTGATTAGTTTTTGCTGGTTTTGTAGGGTGAGGTTTTGATTTATGTGTTGGTGGGATGTTGCAAAACCCAAAGAAGAGAAGAAAGGGTAAAATGGTTGGTGGTTATGAGAGGGAGTAGAGGAGGAAAGTGAGAACGGCAGAGAAATTGATGAAGGAAAGCGCTACGTATTATGCGGCGAAGAAGAGGTTTTAATAAAAGTTGTCAGTGATTCGTAGTCTGCTCCTTTGTCACGTAGCATTTTGGATTTGGAATCAACTTTCACTCTCACTCACCATTACACACCACTCTGCTTGTGAAGACAATTTTAGGTTTAGCCCTTCGATGCATTTTAATTTGCGCAGTGTGTTAGTGACCAATTCTCTTAAAGGATTGCCTTTCTTTCCTGGTTCGTGTTTTGCTCATTATTTTTGTTATTGCTAGACCAATATTCCTCGCCAAATACTACATACATCCTCCATTGATTTGAAATATCCATGTGGGTGGGGCATATGTACCTCGTTAACGCTGATCATCTATATTGCGATCGATTCGACAATCACTCGTGATCATTGTGGATTTGGGGATACCAAAGAGACACTAATTAAGCTCCTTCTGAAATGCCATGGCCTAAACCAATTAATCTTTATGCCATTCTTATCCTGTTTCTGTTTAGTTTTGTTCTCATCACTTTGCTAAAATCACCAAATTATTGCGACCATGGAGAACACATTTGTATACCGATTCCAAATCTGCCGCATGTGTTTCTTTTTGGCATTGTCAAATCACTCAATTAAGGAGTATAAGTTATTATAAAAGATATAAATAGATCTTTTTTTCTTTTTCATTTATATGAAAGAAGTTTTAATTTCTATTATTACAGTCTATTCCAAACTATAGGAAATCATTGTTAAAAGCTGAATGCTGCTTGGTCTAAAATGGTGTTATGCCTTTTTCTGTGAAGCACTAATTTGGACAGCCACTATATTGGGAAGTAGCACTAACTTGAATAACATATTTGGTTTACAAAAAATGTAAGAAAAGAAAAAGAGGGAGGAGAAAAATAAAATATTAAAAACATTATGATTTCGTAAATTATTTGAAACGAAAGAAAATGACAAGATAATATATATTTTATCATTTTGTAAATGCTAATCATACTGCCATATCCTTGCACCAAGGCCTTTCACTTAAGACATAGTGGTTACAATTATTTTAATTAATATTTTTTAAACGCTTCTTACAAAATGTATTTTATTTTTTTAGTGATATCTGTATGATAGAAAAAAATCAACAAAATTATACTCATTTACCTACAATTTTTTTGTTATTTGTTTCTATTTAAACATTTTAATAGTTTAATTCTATATGTTGGGTTTGTTTGTTTAAGTTTTTTTTTTTTAATAAAATAAGTATTTAAATTTATTTTAGAAAGTAAAAAGAAAACTAGTAGATGGGATAAAAAGAAAGAAATTTATTTAAAAGCATTAAAAATATATATAAAAGATACTTAAATATAAATCACTAAAAAACACAAATAGATCCATTGTCACCCTTTACGAAAAAATTATTCATCAACAGTGTACATGCATTTAACTAAGATAACTGCGACATTCCTTAAAAAAAGAAGATAACTGGTAGCTGAGATACCAATCTCTTTTACTGTTATGGGATTAATTGGATGATAGGGTAACTTTAATTTTTGACTAATTTTTTAATACATTTTAAGGTGAAAGGGGATAAATAAAAGGAAGTATAAAGACCCTAGGACTTTGTTCCTCTAAATTGGATGTGGTTTGGGTAGGAGGACAAAGAGGAAAAGAGAATTAGAAGATAGCACCCTAGAAGGGTTGTAGAAGGCACATGATTTAAACACAGTTAAAGCTGGTTTAACCCCAATCCCCTAAACCTACTCCCATTTCATTCTTCTAGCTTTTCATTCAATAGGATTCCACTCCTAAAAAACAAGACCCTACAACTCTTTCTATACCAATTTCTTTTCATAGCAATCGGTAGTGACACAAGAAATCCACATCCTTGACTTTATATAGAGAGAGGGAAAAGTGGTCATAGAAAGCATTTTTGCAAGGCATGATTGAGATATGAACGAGAGACTAGCTGGGGCGAACCGAGGCCCAATAAATAAACAAATGAAAACTCAAGTTTGAACTGGGCCATCATATCAGTGTGTTGGAGAATGAGTAACACAAATAAACCATGGAGAAACAAAATATTCGCTACAGTCTACCCAATAAATAAAGTACATTAGTTTATAATATATATATAAAATTCTTGGGGTATATTATATTATATTGAGTTTAATTTATTATCTTATACAAATTTATAATAACTTGGATAAAGATGTCAAAATAAATTTAATTTGAAGATGGATTCAAAAAGTCAAAATAAGATTAGAAAAAAAATTATGGTCTAAATTGAATCAGACATATTTTAACTCAACCTATATTAAATAGTCTATATAAATTTAGGTCAAACTAACTGGTAAATATATAGACCGACTCATTTTATAGAATAATAATTATTTTTTAAATAAAAATAAAATAATATTATTTTATTAAAAAAATTATATTATAAATTGATATAATTTTAAAAGTAAATATCATAATACATATCTATTAATAATTACTATTTTAAATTAATAAATTATTAAAAAATAAAAAAATATAATAAAAAATAAATATATTCTCTTATAATTTATATATTAAATTATGATATCTTAAAAAAAACTATATTTATTAATAAAATTTCAAATTTCAAATATATATTTTTTATTTTTATTTAATTATATTTTTAGTTATATATATATATATATAATATTAAAAAAAAAATCAATCGGGTCAAAATTAGTCTAACATAAGGTTAAATTAAGCTAAATTTTGTTGTCAATTTTAAAATATAGGTCACATTGAACCATCAATTTTTTTACTTAACTTGTAGTGTAGGAGCCTAGTAGATTGGATTATTCGTTTTAACCATTCTAACTTGGATATGTAAATTTAAAATACATTAATTAAAAGTTTAAAATTAAATAATAATTATTAAAATTATTAAAAGAAAAGTATTATTAATATTAAAATGAAATAAAAATATTTGAATGATAATTATAATTTAAAAAGCCTTATACGTTATTTAAATTTTAAGGGAAAATAAGTGCATAAATGTAAAATAAATTTATTTCAACTTATGATATTTATAGTTTTTAAAAATAAAATAAAACTACTTTTTAGAAAATTATATTCAATTTGTAAAAATAATTTAATCATTTGAACAAAATTTATATTTTATCTCAAGACAAAATTTTGGAAAGGGTTTAATCATTATGAGACTTATGTTAATGTATGATAGTTTGTTATCCAATATTATTAGATGGATTAGGGTTATTAAAATGCATGTAAAATATGTATATAAAAAATAATTTTTGATCTTTATATGATGGATGAATACTAGTGATACCATAAAGAAAACCTTGGACAAGTATTTTACTCAATGCAATCCAAGCCCATAGTTTCTCGATGAATTTTTTTTCAGTTACAGCCAATACTTACAAACAGAAAATCTTAAAATATTATATTTTAGTTGATTGATAAAGAGAAAATGAAATAAAATAAATAAATAATAATTTAAAATCTAAAAATAATTATTAAATAGATATTTTTATTTTTTACAGTGTCAAAATAATAGCATTCTTTTTCGATAAGGAAAGAAATAAATAAATGGGAAGGCGGAGAAGGAAAAATATGCACACTTCACTTTAACCAACACATTTTCTTCCTTATGTTATCCATGTCCAACATTTATCTATTTATTTCTAACGTCAAAATAAATCTCGCATGATCTTGGTTCCATTTCAAATTTACTTTTGCATGGAAGACTATGATGACATCCAATATTATTGCCAAATTCTTTTCACCTAACCATATATATACCAAACTAAACGAATCATGTACATTAATTAAAATCATTTGAAGATCATAGCATGGATTACAGGATCTTTTCTCCATTGACCAATTTGCAAATAAATACCCCAAGTACGAAACTCTTTCTCACACAAAATTATAAAGAAATCCATCATGAAGTTAAGTTGCAATGGTTGTCGCATACTCCGCAAAGGTTGCAGTGAAAATTGCATCATCAGATCTTGCCTTGAGTGGATAAACTCTCCCGAGTCCCAAGCCAATGCCACCCTGTTCCTTGCAAAATTCTATGGTCGTACTGGCTTTCTCAGCCTCATCACTGCAGCCCCTCAACACCTTCGTCCAGGTCTTATGCTCTAACAAATTACTATTCTTTTACCTTCCTTCAATCTTACTTATTTCTTCATTGATTATAACAACTTTCAACGTTTACCAGAAAACAAGAAAAGGTGGTTCAGAGAAAATCTCATAAAATCAATTATTGACAAAGTTAATAAATACTTCGTACTTGTAACAGATAAATAAATAATGACGATTTCAAATATGAAACAACAAGAACCTAATTAAGTTTGAAACATTAATTATAAAAAAATCTAATTACTGATATTTTTTTCCCTTTGTCATTTTAGTTGTGTTCAGGTCACTGTTATATGAGGCATGTGGGAGACTAGTGAATCCGACTTATGGGTCATTAGGTTTGTTCTGGACTGGGGAATGGGCCCAGTGTGAAGCCGCAGTTGAAGCTGTGTTGACTGGGTCAAAAATAAACAATCTAACGTTTTCTCCTTCGAAAACCTCAGAGACACTTGCTAGCAATCGTAGTTTCTCAACATTTGATATGCAGAAGGAAACTAATGTGGAAGCCATAAATGCTACTGAGTTCAAGAGAGTCCATGAAACCAAGTTGGAGTTGGAACTCACTCTTGGCTTTCGTTGCCAATCAACATATGGCAATGAAATGCATTATTAAGTTTGGTTGTTGTTGTTGTTGTTTTTTTTTTTTTTCCTTTACTTATTATAATTTTTTCAATTTATGTTAAACTTAGAAAATTATTAGAATTTAAGCTTTAGGGTTTAAGGGGTCAACGAGATGCTATATAATTTGTTATTGCATTCCGATCCATTATTTTTAGCCATGGACCAGGCTCAATGGCAAAGGTCAATTTTTCCCTCATTGTCAACAACACAAGTTGAGGTACATGATGAGCCATATTGATCAGTGTGTGCATGTACTTTCTATTATAAACTGTTACTCAACACTCATATATTTGTTTAAAAAAATTTGTTCCATTAATTAGACTGATATCGAACCTGCTATTTATTTATTTTTTCTACTTCACAATTATCGTTTGTCCTGGAAGAAGAGAATATCATTCATCATCTATTTGTCTGTAATTGGTATGTATGTGGTAAAACTTGGTTGATGCTGATGGGGTTCGTTTTCTCTGGTGGTGATCACTGAGGTGATGCTGTGTGAGCTAAATGATTTGTTCTTTATCTCATGTGTTTGTGGAATTTTCTATTTGAAGAGAGAGAGAGAGAGAGAGAGAGAGAGAGAGAGAGAGAGAGAGAGGTGTTTGACAAGTAGTGGATTTTTCTTGGAAAGAATCTTTTTTGGTAAAACTATGTTCCTGGGTGGAGGGGGTATTTGATTAGGAATTAAATTCTTTACCTTGGGGTAAGATGGATTTGCAGAATAACATGCAGCCTGAATTGGGCAAATTGGAGCAAATTGTTTATCAATTTCTTTTGAAGTGCTTGCACATAATTTTGGACTCAAGGGTACCTTTGTTACGCCCCCATGATAGAAGTGGTGACTTGTCCGTAGGTTCTCGTGTGAGGAGAAGTGACAAGTGGTTTAACTTGACGTTAGGTGATAGGCCTTCTGCTCTGGATAACTTGCACTTCTGGCACAGGAATTTGATGGATCCAATGATAATTGACATTATACTGGTTCATGATGTGGCTGGTTCTTCTGTTGAGACAGTCATAGAGAGAAAATATATTCAGTAAAAGATGGAGAAACATCTGTTTAAATATTATATACCATGACGCTATTTTAAATATTAATCAGTTTTGTGGAACAACATGACTCAAGATATAACATCAGATTGTTGATTTCCTAGTTTTGTCATGTTTTGGAGTAATTTAAAAAAACATATTATATGAATTTATATTTAATGAAATGTTTATTTTTAAATAATTTTTTAAAATTACTTATTACATACTAACCCACAAAATAAATTATTTGATTTCTTATTTTTTAAGTCTTATACAGAGTGTTATATTGAACTATCTGAACTCATCACAAATAATCTAATTTACTTTATAAAAAATCAAAACTTTTATAATTTAACTTTAACTTATTACGGATTGGTGAATTGAATCATTAATCCATATATTTTTATTCTTAATATTTTTTATAATAAATACGATTAAGTGGCGAAACTGAAACTCGTTAATACAATAATATGACAAATACTAATGACGGGGGTGAAATAAAATAATATAGTGACCCATCAATTATAATACGATTGAATGACAAAAATTATGGTGTAATAAATGTAACAAACACGGTAACAAAATAATATAAATGATAAATAATTTATATTCAATGATAAATATAATGGTAGGGTGAATAATTAATAAATATTTGAATAAATATTTAAATTATTTTAACAAAATAAAATTAAGACGGAAGAATAAGATAATGTGGATTAACACAACTAAATTATTATAATGATTTCTCAGTCCATCTGGCAACTCAAATTCATTTATCCTGCAAATTAAGTAGGTTAAGTTAAATTTTTAACCTATTAAGCATGAAAATAAAATAAAAAAATCAAACCCAGCGTACTTGAACAGTATAGCTCATTTACAACCCATATTTACCATGTATTTCGTTTACTAAAATTATATCAGGGATAACTAAGAGTGATGCTAAACATTCTTACTGTTATTGACAAGACGTGATTAGAAATTTGGAGCATTTATTGACTTAACAAAATTGCTATATACAAAGGAATGAGCAAATAAAATGAAAAACGTCATCGAGAATAATAATATAATATTTAGTGGTAGAACAAGCAATGGCAGCTCCTATTTATTTAGCAAAGGAAATGTCGGTGCTGCGAAGGAAGCCCTCTTCACAAACCTCCCCTTCATTCTGGGTCTCTTCTCTGCATTCAATTTTCTAACCTCGTACCTTATTTTCTTCGAGAACAACCTTGTTCGGCGCTTTTCTCTGTACCTTGACACTCTTGCCTCTCTGCCTCCGTCTATTATCACTGGATGAATCCCAAATCCACCCACTTCACCATAAGGATGATGAATCGCTGTTCCATAAGTTTCCTGGTTAATTAAAAACAACACAACACTTCATCACTCAAACAAACACCGTCACCTACAAATTCTATCTTCAATTTAACTCTTAAAAAACAACACGAAAATCGAGAAATAAATAGTACATACCATGCATTGGTGCCAGCACTCATCGGGGTCCAACTTTGGTTTGTGAGCAGTGGTCCACGGAGACTTTTGGCTAGCCCAGGCAATAATCACCGCCTCGTAATCCAGCTGCAACGAAATCTTCTTCCTTTTCCCCTCAACATTCTCTCCCAGTTCTTCTTCTTCATTCCCCTTATCCTTGCCCAGTTCCAATTCCAAATCACAAACCTTCTCCTTCACCTCGTCACACGTGTCATAGTCAAAGCTCAATTCAAACGATAGATCTCTTCCCACCATCTCCATCTCCATCTCAGGGCTCTCTTCCTCCTCCACCTTCACCTTTCCACTACCCACGGAACACTCCTCCTCCTTCGCATCCATGAGTCCCAAATCCTCTATCCCCACACACTGGTTTTCAAGCCCCCTACCCAATAAACTCTCAACGTCAGCAGCAAACTCAGCAAGTTCTGCATCGGAAGGAAGAATCCCATGCAAGTTTTCCATCTCATTATTACTGTGATAAAAAACATTGCTACGAACCCCTTTGTTTTCAGCCTCGGTGACAGCAGCTGCCACTCCTTGATCAGTTGAAGTTACCGAAGAAGGAGAAGAACTATTAGTCCCACAAGGCTCAGCAACAAAAGGGTCGAATATGGGGACCCTATAAAGAAGCTGATCCTCGTTCTCGTCATGGGAATTCGCCTCTTCCGAACCGACTTCAGGGACCAAATGAAAGGGGTTGTTGATTCGAGAGTGTTTCCCATGTCTGGGCGTTCGAGCTTTCTTAGTGTGCCAAGTGGGAGGTTGTTGCTGCTGTTCGTCGGTGGACTTGTACGACGCCGTTTTCAAGCGGACTCGTTCGTGTCTGCGGGCCAAGGGATTAGCAGAGTGAACCGAAGAGTCACAAGCTTGGCAGAGGAAAGCGTCGTCGGCAGCACAGTACCAACGTGCCCGTTTCGTTATGCAGCTATCACATGCTCTTGCCGTTTTGCCCCCAACAGCAGCGTATTCCCCGTTCTTAGCAGTACTCATAACACCCAAACAAAATTTGAAGCCAATACTAAAATGGGGGTTACAGGGAGGGAATACAATGATTATTATTTTGATCAAAAAAGAGGTGTGAGTGAGTGTGTAGCGTGACCCACAAGAGGCGCTTTTGCAGTCCATTTAACAGGGAGAGATTGTTTGGATTTGCACTTTTGGGACCCTGAGCAGTGAAAGGGATTGAACTTTGGGCTCCACAGTGGAACGCCTTATCTGGTTTTTCATTGGAGGAGCTTGGAAAGTTAATCCTATTCTCTGCTTTCTCATTGGCCGACTCTCTAATCAGAGCGATTTCCGTGGTGACCCACTTTCCGTGTGGATGAGCATGGGCTTTTCAAAATTTAATCCCATATCTGAAAGAAATATAGTTAATCTGTGCCCCCCTCTTGCTAGAAATATCGAGCGAGAGATAGTTTTGGTAGTTTCTGTCACTTCAGCGTCACAGTTAGGTTAAGAGCGTATGACTTTTGTTCCGCGGTCCCATTGGTCTGTCTCTCTTTCTTCCCCATTCACTTTTGTGGCCTTTTACCAATTATTTCTGTTGGATTTTGCTAGAGTGTAACCAATGTAGGACTTGGATCCCCTGGATATTGGATAATTGGGTCACATCTATTCATCTGCTCTCGTTTATCTTGAAGCAACCACAAGGATTAGCATCCTACTCGACCAGGTTATCAGGACAAGTAATCCATCAATTGACAAGGCAGAGTGGATAATAATAATGTTTTTTGAGATACCACACAATTAAAGCATTTGATTAGAAATGTTATGAATGTACATGTGATGACATCTTTTTTAATACTTTTTCAAAATATATTTTTTAGTTAATGTAATACTTGCTCAAAACATATAAAACGTAGTTACACTTTTCTTTTACAGTGTGTGGATCCACTTAATTTTTGAGTTAATAAACATGTTTTTTTAGTGTAAACATGTTGAAATAGATGAAGTATTGTTTTGAAATATAATTTATGCATAAAAAAAGAGAGTAAAAAATTAATCATAACGGAACAAAGAGAGAATTATAAACAGCTGGTTGTTTGAAAAGAATGACACGAAAAGGAATTTCTGGTTGTATATGGATAAAATCAAGAAATTCTGTCGAAAACTGACAAAATCATTAAAAATTTGATTACATGGCATGAAATAGGTTGGAAAAATCTTCTTATTAAAAAGGGTTAGAGAAATATTATGATTAAGAATATTTATCAACGTTATCATATTTTCTAATAGCGTGGAAAATATCCGAATCTTACCTTTTTTTTAATCATTTGATGAATGACTACTTTAAAAATCCACACAGTTTAGTAAATAATATAAAAGAAATATTTTTACTATTTGTTGTTTAAGTGGTGGTGAAAATAGCGATAAAAAAAAAGAGAGAAGGAAACGAATGGATGTAATAATATATAGTGACATAGAAAGTAATTTAGATAAGGATTTGGGTATTATTAAAAAGTCCAACAAGGGATAGTGATGTAGAGAGTTATGAATTTTGATATGAATGGGTCCAAAGTAAAAATGGAGAGTGAGAGATGCAGAATTTGGCAAGCACGAAGAGAGGAATTGTAATGGGGAAACATATTCCTCTGCGTGATAAGGACACTACCCATTCCCATCCTCTTCCCTTTCACGTGTCAATTTCGAATCTTATTCTGACAAATACTTCATGCTCAAATTTTCATCTTAAGATAAATAAAACATCAACTAAGTACATTTTATATTCTTTTTATAACGTTGTTTGTTTCATAAATGTAAATTTCTGTCTCTTACCAATATCTTATGATGATATCTTTTAATCAACACAGTCATTAAAAGTCTTATCAATTAGTAAGATAGTTTTATTTTATTTTTTGTGTAATAATGTGGCATTTTCATTATGTGGTTAGAGAATATTGTCTACTAACAGGAGGAAGTGAAGGAGACAAAGAATCACTTTCAAAAAAAATAAAAAGACAGAAAAGAGAGAGGAAGATATTTGTTTTGTTGTTCCAGAGTAAATTAAAAAAAATGTTATTTTATATATCTCGAAAACATATTTGTAAAATATATTTAAGAAACTAATATATTGAAAGTATATGTTATTTTACATATAATTTTTCATAATCAAACCCACACTTTTATATTTATCGACTTTAATATAATGTCACTCGATTTCTTTATATATGTTATCCCAAAATTTATTCTTTCTTAATATTATTGTTTAGTTAATTAAGTTGCTTCTTTATCATCAATGATTAGCAAGGGAAGAAGCTAAAGAAAAGTCTGAATGAATTATTCATTGCTCTAAATAATTTGAATTCAGAGAAATGTCGTTAAGAAAGTGCAGGTTTAAGGAGTATCTTGGAACTCATTAAAACAATAATTTGGTATTGAATCTTGACAAAAATAAATGGAATTTCCTTTTTTCAAATTAATGTGCATGTCTTTTTCAATGTATGTTTTAAGTTTCTTTATATAGAATATAATAATATTGACTTTAAAAAGAATCATGTTTGGAATTGAAACATTAAAAGTAACTT